ACACTGATCATACATATTGAACAGACATCGTACGCCGCCGGCCACATTTACGCACAGCTAAGGCTGACGGACATTAAACGGAAAACAATTCAATCGCTCCAGACCCGCCTGCAGGCACCGCGCGGTATCGTACGACATCGTTTTTAACAGAACATCGACTTACGCCTACGTCGAAGTTGACGCCGCCGAGTGATGACCTACGGCAAATCGAAACGTACAGCCGCGCCGTTGGATGACCCGCAGCTGAACACCGACTTTACGTACAACTTGGACTCGTGCGTGGTGCAGGGTTCGCGGGAGGACAGGGACACGACGCCCACCGGACAGGGCGTGGTGGAACGCGTGTGGATCACGAGCCGGCCGCCGAGGCTGAGCCCCGGCGTCGAGCCGACGGTCACTGCGCGCCGTACGTACGTGATGGCGGTGATGCTCACGCACGTGCAGGGCCAGATGATCGACTACGGCGAGACGATCTGCAAAAAGGTGTGCACGGGCGGCAAGGAAGTTTCGGTCAACACGGCCACCGCCGCCAACCCCAACAAGCAGGCATCGTCGAGTCCCCGCGGTCAGCAGTGTGACTGACGAGACCGCTGTCGTCATAACTAACCGGTCCATAGCACCACGATAATGTAGTAAGTTTTTGAATAGTTAATAGGCATGGGTATTTATATCACCGTCACGATGCTCAGTTCAAAATCGAAGACGAGTATTTTTATTTATAAGTACAATTATTTATTATTCTAAACTTTAAGATATATTTATTAAAGACATGCGGTTACCAAATGAGTTAAAGTAAAATGTAAACTTTAAAGTTAGTAGATATGTGTGTACCTATATATATTAAGTTAAATACTTCAAAGTGATTATATTCTTTTCACTGTTTTTGATCAGAGCAAAATTAATAACAATATCTGATCAAAAACAGTGAAAAGAATATAATCACTTTGAAGTATTTAACTTAATATATATAGGTACTCACATATTTACTAACTTTAAAGTTTACATTTTACTTTAACTCATTTGGTAACCGCATGTCTTTAATAAATATATCTTAAAGTTTAGAATAATAAATTGTACTTACAAATAAAAATACTCGTCTTAGATTTTGAACTGAGCATCGTGACGGTGATATAAATACCCATGCCTATTAACTATTCAAAAACTTACTACATTATCGTGGTGCTATGGACCGGTTAGTTATGACGACAACACACGTTATGTGCAAACCCATTTAAAAAAATTAAATACCATTTGATTATATAAACCATTTTTAAAAGGATTTTGGTATAAAAAAAATAAAATTTTTATAATTTAGAGTCTAGCTGTCTTCTTATTATACTATTCTATAAAATAAATGATATGATATAATATATTATATCGAATCCATTCTAAATGTTTAAATATATAAAATCTATATACTATGGACTACATTTTTGATTATCATGATGAACTCTCCAGCGTGGCGTATCGTGGTTGTTGTGCACATAATATATTATTATAGCACCGTGCAAAATGTATTTCGTTTCAAAATGCATAACCATCTATGGTTTACGAATAATTGTTTGTAATTGACGTTATTATCAGTCACTCGGTTAGAGATTTTATTTCAAGATATTTTAAATTCGATTTAAGCCGATAATCTTATTTGATTTTATTTTCACCTCATATTATACAATACGACAATATATTATATTTAATGGACGAATAGAGTAGAGATTACTACCCATAATTTGACTTGCTTGACACATACGAGTGGTATACATCTCGACGTGAGATCTATTTGCCCACTGACCCTAAACTGTCCAGCAACGAATAAAATACCTGCCACTGCAGCTATTACAGGGAATTTTATTGGCATATTGTATAGGTAAATCGACAATCGTACATTGCTCCTGCATATGGTATAAACATTTACAAAATACTCAAATCCGTTCACGGTAACTACACCACTTGTATACCTATAGTGGAATTATTTTTAGCTTGCGTGCGCCCATATACTCTTCGTCGGATCGCCAGCCAAAATATGAAACTCACGACAAAGACACGAGAACCGAGTGTACACTATCATACTATACGGCATAATATTATATTATAATATATAATACCCATCATGTGGCCGCCGGCCGGACCGTGGTCGTCGGCCAGTGACAGCGTGTGTACAACAATATTATATAATAACTCATCTCGAAAATACTGCCGCCAAACTTAGCTCCAGAATTAATAGAATACATAAACTCTGCGGTACATCTTGGGGTGCTTCGGCTCACACTCTGCGATGCTCGGCTCTTGGTTTGGTCTACCAGTAGCTGAATACTGCGCATCCGTCTGGCCAAACAGCGCTCATGTGGCAAAAGTAGACACCCAACTAAACACTACCGTAGTGAGACTAATATCTGGTACAATAAAATCGACACCTACTCACTGGCTCCCAACATTAACAGAAATTGCCCCCCCCCCACAACTTCGCAGAGCGAGTGCCTTAGTTAAAGAGCTCTCAAAAATAAATCTCAATCATGAACTGCCCATTAATAATTTTATTGAAGATGCGACCAAAACACGATTGAAGTCTAGAAACCCCCCCCCACCAAAAACAGCTGAGGACATAATCAACGCAAACTTCGACATGATGACGCAATGGGAACAAACGTGGGCAGCCGCGGCAGAGAACGACAACATCCTAGGTAACATATCACCAGGACATATACCCACAGGATTTGACCTACAGCGCAATCTGTGGTGCACACTTAATAGAATACGAACCTCGCACGGTAGATGTGCAGATTCCTTGCACAAATGGGGCATGAGAGACTCACCGGAATGTGACTGTGGAGAAGAATGTGACAGAGAAGCAGACCATCTATCACATAGCTTTTGTATGTCCTATCCACGCCTACCAAGGTCCCGGAATCGACTGCCTCGCAACCGCTCCATAATGTATTAAATGGCTGGAGGAACTAGAACTAGATCTCTAATACCTTATTAATATTACTCATATTTTACTTGTTTATTTTTATTTTATTCATCTGTTATATATTAATTAAATTTACTGTACGTTACCATATTATAACTCTAATGCATGTAACCACAAACCATACGCTAAATAAATAAAATATAATAATATATTATAATATTGTTTTCTTGTGCGGACGAATTACGTGTGGATAACACACCCCCACAACAATAAAGGTGGTCATATGCGCCCTGCAGAAGGGGGTATTAGCACCTTGTGCTTTTTCCTATAGAAGAAAATCGTATCACACACACGCGCTCGCCCTCATCACACACACACACACACACGATATAATAACATTGCAACCTTTAGTCGTCGTCTTCGCGCCATGTGTCTTATACGCGGCCGGTAATGACCAAAAAATAAAAACGCAGAGGAGTACACACACAAACGTACTAACGATACCGGAATTTGCCTGGCCAATGATTCGCCGGCAGGTGCCAAAGGGTCTTCTACTTCTGCCGTGCATATATATATATGCGTATAATATGCTCGTCGCGTATATCATATACCATGGTACTATTACTGCTACCACGGTACATGTACGTGCGGTCCGCAGTGCGCCGACGGCACAAGAGTTCCGCACAGTTGACTTCTGGAAGGAACTACGGTGAGTGGCCGTGCCGAAAGCACCCGGCCGCCGCACCGTGGCAGATAGCATCCCGTCATCCATTGAAAGTCCTCCACTGAATGGACGTAATTTATGCATATTCAGATTTTCATAACGATAATTTGTGAATGCAGTTCGATGAAAAACTAAGACTTTATAAATTATACGATGGTATTGTTTGTTATAATAATATAATATTATCTGGTTTAATTGTTTAAATAGGTATCAAAATATAACATGATCATAATATTTATTTACATCACTACGGTTTGCGAATAAATAGAGTGCTCATACCTAATAGTTTTTCGAACTGCAAAATGTATTTCTCGACAGAATTTTTGGTCGGAATTTCGTTCGCTTGCGTCGGCTTGGCAGGAATGTCGTTCCTAATATCAAGGCGAAATAACCCTGCATCTACCGATGGATGTGGACTGAAAAATAAGGACGAAGTCTTGGAGGTAAACAAAATATAATACATAATATCATGTAGGTTTATATTATAATAATAAACGTTTAAATTCTTTAATATTTGTCATTTTTAGTATAACCAACATAATATTAATTAGTTTCGGAGCAAAAACCTTGTGTGTCTGGAGTCCAGTCATACCAGGTTCTTGCTTTGAAATGTAATAACCTGGTAAGTCCATTTTGCTTATATTATCTCCATAACTAATAATCGGATATAACGGATTGTTACACCGAAATGTGTAGTTTTATTTATTGATCAGGAAACCACAATAAAAAAACTTTTTTGAAAAAGGGGCAAGGCTGGGCATTAACGAGTTAAAAATTAAAATAAAGTTAAAACGTTAAGTTAATTTTAATTAAGTTAATTAACTCGTTATTTTTTTTTCAAATTAACTTTTAACTTAATAAGTTACTTTTTTTTCAAGATTAATGTGTTAACTTCAAGTTAATTTTATTTCAAAAATATCTAAATTAAGTTAATTTTCTTCCGAAGAATAATGTAAATTTTTTAATGTGTTTTTACTTTGATGTATCATTTTAAATTTCCCCAGTAATTTTCTTAGACGTAAAGAAAAACTATCTAATAAACCACATAAACCACATTATGTGTCTGGAATTTTCTATTTTTTCAAATTAGCAAATTTTAACTTTACACTAAGTTAAGTTACTTTTTTTTCAAAGTTAACTTTTAACTTAACGAGTTAACGATAAAAAATACGAGTAACTTTTAACTTAACTTAACTTAATTATTTTAAAATAACTTAACTTAACGAGTTAAAAAAAAACATTAACTTGCCCAGCCTTGAAAAGGGGACATACCTATCACGTTTTGCACAGAAGGATTCCATACTTTTTAGCTTAGATAGGTATAGGTAAGTACATATATTTACCATAAGTGCAAATTTACACTCATGAGTTTGTAAACTTAAGTATTTGTAACAGTTGAAATTCACTAACTTTTAACTTGTACATTTAACTATTAATCTGTAAATATAATATGAAATAATTACAAGTCACATATATTATGTTGGTAAATTGCAACCCATATTAATAGTTAAATTTACAAATCATAAAGATGAGTAAACTTTAACTATGACCTACTGATAATTTTACATAAGTGTTTAAGTATAGATTAAAACCAAGTTTTTACAGTTTTCGTGTGTAAATAAATTTAGGATTCGGGACTTGACTTGTTGCACTAAAAACTATCGAAATATGCAGTCAACATTTTCAAAATATGCTTAAATATATGCAGTTACATTTTTATATTATTTTTGAAAAATTCATAAAACATATTACAAGTAATAAAAAACTAAAAAATAAGTAGGTACCTATAATATAAACATGATAAAAATAATTTAAACACGGTTATACAAGTTTTAATATAGGTAGGTACCTAGGTATATTGATTAATGATTAATATGATGGACGGAGGACAGTATCGCATGTCTTGGACATTTTTAAACTATTGTGAAATAAAACTTGATTTTTAAAAATGCTGGTATAAAATATTAGGTAATAAATAAGTACCTAATAATGAATAACGTGATATGCGAACACCGTGATAAACGAACACATATCTACTGATTTTTATTTATTCGTACAATCTAGAATCTAGATGTCAATTATAGTTTTAACACAGTCTTGTCACAAAGAGACTTATAAAGTCTTACGTACCATATGCGAAAATAGGGCCAACCGTATAGCCAAGCTCCACCAACAACTTTAACATTCCTCCCAAACATTTACTAAATTTTATAATAGTATGGTTTTAGGCTTCGTCTTCCCCAAATCTCAAAATTATAGCACTTATTGTACCTAACCAAACATAATATTTTTAAAGATATTTTTCAATGTTATCCAAATATGATTTTTCCCAACAATTGTATGTACCTACATTTAAGTTAAAAAAATTTAAAATATGCACAAATATGCGAAAAATCGCTCAAATGTACAATTTTCCTACAATATTCAAAAATCTTCAAATTCAAACTTCGTTTGATAAGACAAATTTATAACTTATATTATAATGAAACATGCAAGCAGTCCCGAACCCTATAAACAATATATTTATTAGGGGGAAATGTCAATGGGGGTGTTCAAACACCCAAAACGCCCCCCTGGCTACGCCACTGATAGTACCTATTTATTTTAATAGAACGAAAACGATTTTGATGCGGAATCGAGAAGTGTTCAGTCCGTGTCAGATGAAAACTTGAATAACACAACGCACGTAAAATCAATAGGAGGTCCGTTTTAAATATCAATATGAGTATAATTTTTTAACTAAAACTATTTTCATATAATTCCATACTTTCTAGAACTGTATATGGACCCGGTGGATATGCAGGCATTCAGGGACCTGCAAGTATGAAACGAATAACGGCTTTAGAACAATCGAATGTATAATCATAGTATATCGTGGTACTGATTAACAGTTTTTATTTGATTTTCAGCATAATTTTAAAGTGGTTGAAATGAATTGTTTGGCTTTAAAACATCACTTGGCCGACGCATTATATACCGTTCAACAGACCGCCGACGAGCAGAGGCTGTCGATCAACGACCTGAGATTGGAAGTGTCTCGCCTTAAAAAAGATTTAAACCGTTTGACCGCCGATCTGCTGAAAAACTCAGAGACTCCGTCCGCGGAAAGTAATATTATAATATAATACTATATCGACCTGACTATACCCATAACAATTAACAGTGTAACACATTATTCGTTTCCGTTCGTTTAGCAAACACCGAAAAATCCGCTGAGGAAAATCTCGACGGCGGCTGCAAGCTACGCAGACTAAAGATGCGGGTCTCGGTTCTTGAAAGTAAAATATTATATAGAAAAATATCGGTTGATAGATAATGAATTATTACTAACGACGTGTGTCCGTGTAGGTGACTTGACAAAAAACTCTACTGAAATCGTCGGTACAAACCACACACTGATGTTGAGGTTAACGAGCGCGGGGGCCGCCGCTGATGCTGTGACGTCCGCGTCGTTCACACGCGCCGCAGGCCCACCACCCTCACATCCGGTCCGGAGGCAACCGACTCCACCTCCTGCGGTAACCTCGGCAAATTTTGGGACTCCTCCTCCGCCGATGACGACCGGCACGGTGGCGTTTCGCCGTGACCCTGTGCAGAAGCAGTGCGCATCCGTGAGCATCCGTGCGCTGAGCCGAGGAGAAAGAATTGAAAATCTACTGCCGTGTGTCCGAGAGGAGGAGAGTTTGAAGTCCGTCGTCCTCAAGCCTGTAGCCCGGCGCACTTGACGATCTCTTCCGGTACTTTGACGTGACCTTGCCGGCCTGACCAATGTACACGGAAAAAAAATAATACAAGTTATACATGTATAATATTTGTTTATTTTTTTCTTAATTCTTCAACTCTATTGCAATGATCTAATTTATAATGTATTCCATTTGTGTAACATATTATGTATTGATTGTATTTCTGTGCATAAATTAATAAACCTGTTTAATAAAATATACCCGACGTATTTGTTCTATAATGTAGGTTTTTAAATTACTGTTACAATATTATTATGAGATATTAAAGTCTCTCTATTATAAGACTATAATCGTTTTCAAGTCCTAAAAAACTAAATGTATAATAGGTATAGTTAACCATTTTGATAAAAATGGGGTCATATAACATTATAAAAAAGCTAAATTTTTAAAAATGTTTAGAGAAAAAGTAGCAATTAAATACAACACAACGATCAAATGTCAACTAGTTATCGTAATATATTGTTGTAAACGGGTAACATGATAAGTATGAATGGGTTGACTCAGTCTAGTGGCGAGTAGTGCGTGTATGAGAACTGTCTGGTTCTCACGGACGCCTACGCGACGCCTACGAGACGCTGAGCGAACACATTCCGAAAGGCTCGGGACAGACCATGGGGACAGCCCCGCCAGCTAGAGTCAGTCGAGTCTGGTCAAAAGAGTGAGTAACACACGTGTTACTAAGCAGAGCATCCTTTATAGTTTATTACAGAGCCTCATATAATTTTTATCAGAACCTCTCATAATAATAGTTTTTTTTATTATATATATCAGTTCTTCAATATTTAATTTATTAAATCAGTAATAGTTTTATCATTATATACATTAATTCTTTAGTGTTCAATACAATAAATCGGTAATCTTATTTATAAGCAAACTGTGTGTTATTTTATTTGATGCCAACACCTACGGTTTTACATCATTCGACGGTGGACCACACTTCAATATTTACTTCCTTACGACGGGTAATACCTAGCATTGGAAAATTAAATCTAAAACAATAGTATTATTAAATTAATAATACTATTGTTTTAATTTATCAGTCGTTATTATAACTTACAAATAATATGTAATACAACTTCTGAGATATATTATCAGAACTTAGTAGGTACCTAGTTGCAATTTTTTTTATTATTGTTTTATATTATCAACAATTATTTCTCACCACTTTATAAACTATAATCTATAGGAATTTTTATATCTAACAATAGTTATTAGAATTATATCAGACGATAAATATTAATAACAGTTTTTAGTTTAAAAAAAAAACTATTTGAATACCTACATTGATTAAGTATTTAGATAACCAAGTATGGTTACTGCGTATAGTGTATACCAATGTTGTTAGAAAATAGACATGTCTTTATATTTATGTTTGAACTTGATCCTTCGACTAACACTGTTTTATGAAAGTTCAATACTTAAGTACCTGCTTTTAAGTATACTATAGGTACTTAAACATTTTGTTAAGTTAATATTTTTAAAACAAGATAACTTCTTCAAATATTTTACTGGTATCGAATATTATATACCTAATTCTGGAAATTCACATCCAATTAAATTTTCGTTTTATTTATTTTAACTTCCTCTCGTTGTTATTGCTTATATACCAACGATGTGACATTCCGATCACGAGGTGACGGGTCTTTCTTCATCTATAGCCTTAACAATAGAGAAGTCAACGACTTCTTCCAACATATGATTATGAGTTTTATGTAAAAAAGTAATTTGACGAATTTTGAGATACCATTTGTCATTAATCCAGAGGTCATCACGACAAAGTGGCAATCATTTAGCCGAACGATTTTTAAAAGAAAATTCAAAAATAATTTAAACGCAACCAGTATGTAGGTATTAACCTGAGCTCCTAGGTCATCCAAATTATTGATATATTTCATATTAATTGTATGGTAGGTACTTATGTGGGTTTTTAATGAAAATGAGAAAATCGACACGTAAGTGTATCAAGCGAAGTTGAAAATCTGATAATATTCTATGTTTCGGCGTTTTTAAAACAAAAAATAAAATCACCTACAGGCTACAACATTATATGTAATCTAATTAAAAATTATATAATTTGTATGACTTGTATAATTCTAAATTAATTAACTCTGTACTTCTCACCTCCGGGGTGTACATAAATAATATCATTATTAAATTACAAATAAAATCGATATTTTTCATAGTAGGTACCTCGTACTTGTAAAATATATTATAAATTATTGTTTATTATTTTAACAATTCATATTATAATATTCGAGATGTTATGAAAGCCACTGCGTATGCCTGTGATGTTCTTTTATATTTTATATTGTGTCTCTGGTTGTATCCGAAGACGACAATTTGTTGAAACCGTTCTCTGTGTAGCGGGTGATAATACCTACAATGTTTTTTAATAGTTTATTAATAAAAAGAATACAAATTTTAGATTTATATGAGAATATTATACTTTATTAGTTTTAAAAAATATGATTTATACTACAAGCTCACTACTTAGCTCGAATGAGTCGAGTTCTAGACTGAATTGCCGACAGGACCGATACTATAGTCTTGTCGCGCATAAGCAAAATATCTAAGATAAGACGCCTACATACAGGCGTTATTATATTCTGTAAAACAAGCGTCTCTATACTCTATAGTCTCTATAGTGGTGGGCATATAACAGAGACACAATTTCATAAGATACTTTGTATTGCATTAATTTTTTTGTATTCATATTTTCCATAATAACTTGTTACAAAGAGTGTCTAATCATCAATTTTACTCGTCATCCTATCTTCACCTAAATAACTCTATGGAAATAGATTATGACGAGGATATAATATTATAGAATTATTATTTCGACGTACCTACCTACTGAGAATGATAAAGATGAAGACAAAATAGCAGCCGTTGAACTGAGTAAGTGTTTTCATGTAGTTAAACACCATCATAGCTATCTTTCCAGCGATTGTGGAGTAAAATTAGAGTCGAAACATTTCTCAGATTCAACGATAGCTAATAAAGTCCACCTGGGTAGAACGAAAATGGAAGCTATCGTCAAAAATGTACTATGTCCGTTCGCTATTGAAAAAGCAGTAATAAAACTCAAATGTCCTACTCCTATTCCCTTTTCTATATCTACAGACGCTTCAAATAAGGGAAATAGAAAATTTTTTCCATTAGCGGTTAGGTTATTTAATTTTGAAGACGGAGTGAAAGATTACCTTTTAGACTTTTACGAGGAACCAAACGAATCTTCACAGTCAATTTTTGACACGATTACTTCTGCAATTGAATCTCTTGGCTTAGATATAAAAAATATAACAGCTTTTGGTGCCGATAATGCCTCTGTTAATTATGGAAAACATTGTTCGGTCTTCGAAAAATTAAAAAATAAAAAATCCAATATAATTAAAGCTAATTGTAACTGTCATGTGATTCATAACGCAGCAAAGCATTCCATGAAAGTTATAAAATACGATGTAGAAACGTTGGTATTAAAAGTTTTTAATGAATTTTCTATGAGCTCCAAAAGAGTAGATGAACTTAAATAATGTTTCGAATTTGTACAACAGGACTATCATAATGTATTGCGACATATTCCGGTGAGATGGCTGAGTTTGTTTAATGCCGTGGACCGATTAATTTTAAATTGGAATGCAATTAAAACTTATTTTATAAAAAAAGGAAAAAATGAATGTGATTAAATCATATGGACATTTATTGAAGATCAGAAAAATGAACTTTCTGAACAGTTAACTTTAAGAGAATGTTACATTTGGTTTGTTCATCATGTGTTGTCCATTTTTCAAAAACATATTTTAATATTAGAAAAAAATAATTTAAACGCTCCAGAAGTCTATGATGTAATGTTAAGTTTAAGATCTCAAATTTTAAATCGTAAAAATGATAATTTCTTTGGAATTGCAGTAACTACACGATTACCTAATCTTACTAGCAAAGAAAACGATGCATTTAAATCTGATGCTCTACATACTTACAAACGTGCATTAGAATACCTCGAAAAATGGTTTGATTATGAAAACTCTCCATTCAAAATGTTTTCGTGTTTGAAATTAAGTGAATTACCTAAATTAACAGATTTACTCGATCTGGCCAAATTAATTAAGGTTCATGTCAATGGAGATGAACTGTATGAAGAGCTTAATTTGATAAAGTTATTACCAAATGATATCCTAAATAACACAGAATTCACTAGTTCGGAAAAATGGGTAAAATTTTTCCAATCATCTACTGCACAATTAAAAAATATTAAACAAATTGTACAGTATGTATTCTCGGTGCCGTGTAGCAATGCATTTGTTGAACGCGTTTTTAGCCACATGAATAGTTTGTGGACAGATGAGCGCAATCGATTAGGAATTGATACAGTTAAAGCCGAACTAGTCATAAGAAATAACATAACATACAATTGTTCAGAGTTTTTTGATCAAATACAAAATGAAAAACATTTATTAAACGCCGTGAAAAATGCCGCTAAATATAAATTTAAAAGTTTACAATAGTTTATTTATAATAGTTATTATAATAATTTATAAGTTTATAATATTAAAGTTTAACATAATGTAATACTAATATTATTAATTTTTTTATTTTAACGTATGTAATTAATTATATTATTCGTCATTTTATTATATTAATATTAAAAAATGATGACCTTTTTTTTTTTTTTTTTTTTGTACACTTGGGCCGGTATTTTTTAATTCCAAAGTTGGCAACCCTATTCGACGGTGGACCACACTTCATTGGTGGCAGCGGTGGGATCTCTAAAAGGGAAAAATTGTCGCAATTCATTTTGCGACAGTGCAATTTTGGAGATCGCTAAAGAACTTATGTGAACTACCGCCGTCTGGGTTCAACTGGTTTTGGTGTCAGAAAATCATAAGGAAAAAAAAAAAAAAAAAAAAAACGGTACGGAAAATCTATACAATAATTCGTTCAGTATTTGGAAGCACGGGTGTCCACCAGAGGTATATATAGCGCACATATTATATATAATATAGTTTAATATATTGTCATTTTGATATTAAACACACCGCCGCCAGCATTGTCGTAACGGCGTGTCATATTATACATCCGATCGATGGGGTGTAATATATAAATATATACGTGGGCGTATTTTATATACATCTATATACTTTATATCAACGGACGAGCGCGTCGGCATCATCGTCCCGCTCCGCCGTCTAGGCAACCCGTTCACGTTGTTCATACGATTTATAAAATAGTGTTAATTCGTTCAATACGCGGCGCCATTATATTCGTGGTTGAGTGTCGTATATAATATTCTTAATATCATACGCGCCGCCGCCGGTACGTAGTAGCTGTGAAACAGCGCTCCGCACACACCGACAAAGACGACCTTTGTCGTCGTCGTCGCCATCGTCGCCGTCGTCGCCGCCGCCGCCGCCGCCGGGACAACCTGTACTACGTCACAATACGAGACAGCGCTCCGAGCACATTTACGGGGAGATTTCGGTCGCCTTCGTCGTCGTTGCCGCCGCCGTGTTAAGGTCCATTCTCACTGCTCCGGGACGGGTCCGGGCCGGAATCCGTCCGGGTACGAAAAAAATTCTATTCAATGCATTTTAAATGTGAACATTCACATTTATCCGGGCCGGGTCCGGAACGGTCGTCCGGGCCGGGTCCGGGCCGAAAAAATATTGTTCCCGACAATTCTCTATCAGGGTTCCCGGACGGGCTTCACCCGGATTGAACGTGTCCTGACCAGTGTGAACGATGAACCGTGCCGGGTTCATATAGTATCTGGGTTGTTTTTTACTCCAGCATCTCTCATATGGATCTGACTATCTATAGAAGGTGTTATTTTCTAATAATTTGATATGGAATTCGTATGAATTCGTTCTAAATTAATGAAATTCGTACTACCTTCTTTCCAAGTAAAAAAAAAAAAAGAAAAATGGTGATACTGATGTTAAATACTTTTGTATAAAAATTACATCAGGCACGTACAGGATTATATTAGGAGTGTACAGGAACGTACAGGTCCTTACATGTTTGAAAACGAGCGTGAACGACACACTATGAGCCTTGAGTCAAGAGTGGTGCCCATATGACAGTTATTACCCATTCAACTTTTGTTTCGGTCTCTACTCTTTTATATATTTTGAATTTTTAAAATATGGACTCCGAAAAACTTATTGAAATTGTTCGAAGTCATTCAAGTCTTTATGACTTGAGTGACCCCAAGTATAGTGATGCGACACACAAAGATAAACTTTGGAAAGTCATAAGTGAAGAATTAAATCAACCAGGTAATTATGTATTTTTTTTAATTCATTTTCATTTTTAACTTAAATTAATTTTAAAAATAATAAAATCTATTGTATTATATTATATATATATATCAGTATATTTACTTAAAAACTCGTACCTATAGTTACAATTTATATTTTCGACTTTCGAGTACGAATAAATTTTAAAATAGACAAATCTATAGTATATATGTGTAATATTATGTGGGTATAATTATACAGTATAATTACTGTTTTGCTATTATATAGTTAAATAAAATAAAACCAATAAAAAGTGAAAATACAATGTGTCAACAACTTGTAATAAAAAAACATAAGTTAGCTTTGTTTAGTATTTAAGCTTAAATAAAAGTTAATTTAAAAATTAAAAGTAAGCTAAAAATATTTAAAGTTATACTATATTACAGATTATAATGATTATATAAAATTATTTTGCCATGAAACTAATCCAGCTTCGGAATTAAAAAAATCTTTAAATGTTTCTCTGACCTGAAATGCTTCTTGGCTTGCGTTACCTCCATGCAAAGGGACATTTTGTAACGTAATTGCATCTGTATAATCATTTACACTTCTCGATTTATCAATCCGATTGTATACTTGTTTACCATCATAAATTTTTATAAAATTGTGTAAGACACAAGTAGCCAAAATTATATTGTCCACGTTCTCTGGTTTGGCTTGAATTCTTCTGTTATATATTCGAAACTTTTGCGTTAGAATGCCAAATGTATTTTCGACGACTCTTCGTCCTCTACAATGCCTATAGTTGTATATTCTTCTAGAATTGTTATGTAGTTGTTTGCCTGGATAAGGTCTCATTAGATACTCTTTCAGCGGGAACGCCTCGTCCCCCAAGATTACGTAGGGAACAACATTTGTTGTTCCCGGGAGGGCAACGCTTGGTGGCACGTTCAATTTCTTCTGATCTAACATTTTGCCTAGTTTAGAATGCATCAAAATCCCGCCATCGCTGCTCCTTCCATATGCACCAACATCAACAGCAATAAAGTTATAATGTGCATCGACAAGGGCCATGAGTACTATTGAAAATGTTTTCTTATAATTAAAATATTGCGAACCACTGTTGGGTGGCGCTTGAATAACAACATGCTTCCCATCTAATGAACCTATACAATTTGGAAAGTTCCAACAATTCCAAAACTCGTCGGAAATTTCCTTCCATTTGGCAGATGTGGGTACTGGCATTACCTCTGACATCAGTTTGTCTACTATAATTTTACATGTATCTGTCACTATTTCGTGAACAGTTGAATGTCCCAGTCGATAACTGAATGATATAGTTTTCATAGAATCACCCGTTGATAAAAATCTAAAAAATCAAATCATTTTTATTTAATATCAGTAAATAATAATCAAACCTAAAAAACTCCAATTTAAAATTTAAATAAACAAATAATAAATAATAAATCTATTAATGTATTTTTAAAATTGCATTACGTAGGTAGTTAACAATTGAAAATAATATTTAGGTAATGACGAAAATGTCCATGTTATCATAAATAATACTTTTGAATTAAAAGAATTATAATAATTATTTATTTTATGTTTGAATATCAAATTTCATAAAAGTTTAAAGTATGACATATCAATAAATTGTGAATAGGTTATATAAAGGTAATATATTATATTTGAAACTTTTAAAATTTAAATAACAATTTATTTTATTTTATATATTCATTGTTATGTAATGAAAAACCTAAATTTGTTTATGATTATGAAATACAGTATATAATGATATATTTTTTATTATATTTGTGTAGCTAATGCGTGCAAGACTAGGTGGTATAACATCAGGGACCAATACAGGAAAGTTTTAAATAAAAAAAAAACAACGAGTGGTCAAGCTGCAAAAAAACAATTTAAATATAAATACGAGGATCAACTTTCTTTTTTAAAAATAACCTTCCAAGAAAGATCAACTACTACCAATATCGATGGTAGTGATTCGGAAGAATATGATGACACTGCATACTTGGACAATCCTGGATGCTCTACAGATATGAATATTAGTATCGAAACTCCAATTAATAGTAGTACATTTACATCTATGCCAACGCAACAATCAAATTTATCTACAATTTCTAAAGGAGGAGGGAAAAAAAATGACAAAGTAACGGCTTCAGCGGTGATGATGAAATATCTATTAGATAAAAAATCAAAAGCAGAAAATGATACAACACCAAAACATCATGTAAATGCATTTTTAACAGGAATCGCTTCTACAATGAAAGCGTTGGACCCGTATCGTGCTAACATAGCAAAAACAAGGATTTTTTCTATTGTTCAAGAACTAGAAATGGACCAGATAATGAACGATCAACGTCAGGTATACACACCGACACCTCAAATACCAGTAACTCAAAATAAAACAAATATGAACGGAAGTAATGAACAAATTCAATCACAGCACACTGATGAACCGTACTATCAAAATTTATAGGTTAGTTCTACAATATATTATACAATTTAAAATATTTCTTTCTAAATGTTTTCATAATTATTAATAATTTTTTGTAATAATAAAATTTTATAATAATATAATATCGTAAGTTAATTTGTCATTAATTTATAAGTTTCTTCATACTATTTTATAAAGAGTTAATGCAAAATATAATTTTATAATCATAAGTTAATTTGTATTTAAATTGTTATGTTTAAGCTCAAATAATAAATAAATAAAAGGAATAATGTTAAAATACTAATAATTTGATTGTCAAATGATTTAATAAAATATGTTTTAGAATAAATATTTCTTTGAAAACACTTATGTCTAAGTTGTTAGTTAAAATGAACTGTAACATTTCTATTTTATTTAGTACCTAATGTTTGTTGAAAATAAATATATTCTTACCTTAAACATACTGCTAATCGATGCCTAGGTGGAATACATAGCCTAAAGTTGGTGTTTTGTTTTTGAATATCATTTTCAATTTTTTTAAACAATACATTGAAAGAATACATTGACATCCTAAAGTACTCATAGAACTTAATCTCGTCGTGTATTAATTCTTTGTACACCCTCGGTTTCACGTTTCTTCCAAGCAGCGTGGACCCAAAACTTCCTAGGCTCCCGTGAAACTATTTTCTCTTCCTCTTCTTCATCAAGTAATATTGCTATCATTGCAAGTTCGTCGTCGGAAAAATTCATAGCAATACTAAATTACATTATTTGTAGATTAAAGTCTTCTATATTTTTTTTAATATGTAGT